GTAACCCACAGCTCTAATCCCCGCACTTTGGGGGCAGAAGTTTGGGGAGGCAGGCAGATCTCTCTGAGTTCTAGGCTAGGCTGGTCTACATAGTGTGTTCCAGGACAGCGAGAGCTACACACTGTGATCCTGTCTCCAAACAAAACAAACAGACAAAACGAAGAGCCTACACAACTCTGTAGAGTGAGCAAACCAAAGCCTTGACCGTCTGTCCTGGACTTTAGAAAAGGGAATTCTGAACACAGAGCAGTGCTCAACACTGCTCTACACATCCCTCTCTGGGGTAACAGGACTGCATGAGTACAGAAGCAGACAGTGAACTGTGCTTCTCAGATAGGATTTGGGCTGCAGATGGTAGTCTCCTTCCAGATGAGGCTGTTGAACTAGCACGGCCACCAGCAGGAAGGAGACGCTGCAGCATAGACTGAGCAGGTTGAAGGGCACCATTTTGTACTCTGAGGCTTGATACTTCAGCTCCCGGTAAGAGAATTGACCACTGGGATGGCATGGCCAGGCTGTCCTCTCAACCACAGGACCCAGATTTCTCAGCTCACATGATAGGCCTCACCTCTTTCTGTTTTTTGTAGGTTGTTGTTTGCTTTTGTTTTGAGATGGGGTTTCTCACTGTAGCCCTGGCTATTCTGGAACCAGGCTGCCCTCAAACTCACAGAGATATCTGCCTGCCTCTGCCTCCCAAGTGTTGGGATCAAAGGTGCATGCCACCACTACCTGGCTAGCTTGATGTATTCAACTCACGAGGTAGTTCAGAATGCCTTTAACTCTCAAATCCTCCTTCCTACCTCTACCTCCTGCATGATGGGGTTGCAAGCACAGCTACCATATCCATCTCAGTGAAACTTAATTTTCTAATGTATATTCATTGTACAGAATGATGGGTTTGGGTTTGGGATGTAGCTCATTATGACTACATATGTGATGTTCTGTGTTCAACCTCTGGACTGCAACAACCAACCACCAAAAACAGGTTTCACTAGGCAAGCATTCTACCAACTGAGTTGTATCTTCAGCCCTTCTTATTTTGTTTTGAGATGGGGCCATGCTTTGTAGTTTAGGGTAGCCCCCGCTGTGTAGGCATTTTGGGTGGACTGGGTGGGACAGGTATTCTGGCACTTGGGAGTCACAGAATACTGAGTATTACACAGCTCAGATGGAAAGGTATCCTGGAGCTCAGGAGCCAAGGACTACTATAGGTTGCAGTAAGCTTAGCAGTCCTAATAAGCTAGGTTTGGCCACCGGTCTTCATCAGGCCAATCAGACAAGGAACAGTGAAAAGCAGAAAAAGGAAAATTACCCAAAGTGGTGCCACTGGAAAGAGGAACAAATAAAGAGGTCCAATGCCTTCCCTCTCAAGTCCATCTTCAAAGTGCCAACATGAGGTTTGGATTGAAATTAAGGGGCTGGAGATGGCTTAGCAGTTAAGAGCACTTGATGCTCTTACAGGGGACCTAAGTCTGGTTCCCAGCACCCATGTGAGGCAGCTCATAACCACCTGTAACTACAGCTTCCTGAGAATCCAACACCCTCTTCTGGCCTCTGCAGACATCTGTACTCACATAATTAAAAATAGTAAAGTCCTTAAAACAAAGGACAGTTGTGATCAAAGTATGGTCTCCACAGTCACCTTTGTCTGGACTCCAGTTCTTCCTTCAAGATGGCTGGACAAGTTCTTGGACCTGTATGAAATCTCATCCTAAGAGATAAAATTCCTACCAGGCAGGAACCAGACTTTTAAGCCTTTTCCTTCTCTGAGCACGAGATTCCTTGGTTTCTTAGGTCTACTGTCTCAAAAGTCTGATAGCCCTAATGGAAGGACACAGGTGTCTCAGAGTATCTTCATTCCTGCTAGTAGAGTTATGGTAGTGAATGGCTGTAATCCTAGCATTTAGAAGGTAGACACAGCAGGATCATGAGTTTGAAGCAGCCTGGGCTACATATTGAATTCAAGGCCAGCCTGAATTACATGAGACTCTTTTTTTTTTTTTTTTTTTTTTCAAGGCAGGGTTTCTCTGTGTAGGTTTGAAGTCTATCCTGGCACTTGCTCTGTAGACCAAGCAGGCCTTGAACTCACAGTGATCTTCCTGCCTATGCCTCCCGAGTGCTGGGACTAAAGGCATGTGCTACCAATGCCTGGCCATGAGGCACTTTTTCTTTCTTTTCTTTTTTTTTTTTTTATATTTTATTTATTTATACAGCCTTCTGCCTGCATGCCAGAAGAGGGCACCAGTCAGTGCTCTTAACCACTGAGCCATCTCTCCAGCCCCATGAGGCACTTTTTCAATAAATATTCCTTTCTTTCTTTTTGAGACAGGGTTTCTCTGTGTAGTCCTGGCTATCCTGGAACTCACTGTATCTCTGTAGCCTTGAACTCAGAGATCTGTCTGTCTCTGCCTCCTGAGTGCTGGGATTAAGGTGTTTACTACCACTGTTCAGCCAATAATTTTTTTTTAGGTGGTATTTGTGCATGCCTTTAATCCTAGCACAAGTTTTCAAAGCAAGTTCCAGGACAGCCAGGGATACACAGAGAAACCCTGCCAAAATAAAGGAAGAGAGGGAGGGAGGAAGGAAGGACCTTAATCACTAACCAATTCCTCTGCCCTCTTTTATTTTTATTTATTCTATGTTTTTCTTAGGAACATGGGTCTCTCACAATGCTGTAATAGACACCTGGCCAAGTAAAATCACTCAGTCACAGCCAATATCTCCTCAGTTTCAAAAGGGCTATCTAGGCAAGAACCATCTGTCCTAATATTAAAAATGTTAACCATAGTGCTACTAGCTGGGCTTGGTGGCACAAACCTTTGATTACAGCACTAGGGAGGAAGAGACTGGCAGATCCCTGAGTTTGTGGCCAGCTGGGTCTAAGGAGCTGGTTCTAGGACAGCCAGGGCTACACAAAGAAACTATCTTGAAAAAACAAAAACAAAAAACCCCAAAAGCAAAAACTTTTTTTTAGATGAACAAAATGGAAAACTGTTCGTTATTCATTGAAGAAACATTGAGCACAGTGCTAACACAACGAGTTTCTAATCTCAAAATTAGAAAGCCCTGTCCTATTTTGTTGTTTTAAATCTGTTTACTGGGGAATTGCTCAGCAATTAAGAGCACAGGCTTCTCTTTCGGAGGACTGGGGCTCAACTCCCAAGCACCCACATGAGTGCTCACAACAGTCTATATAGTTACAGGATATTTGACACCCTGTTCTGAGCTCCTCAGGTACCAGGTACACAAGTAGTATATAAACAGACACTCATACACAGGAACTGAGTTTCTTAAAAGCCTGTTTACAGCTTGGCATGATGGTCCACGTCTTTAATCCCAGCACTCAGAAGCAGAGCCAAGAGGATCCCTGCGACCTCTAGGCCAGCCTGGTCTACATAGTAGTTTCAGGCAAAGCAGGGATGCATACTGATGCCCTGTCTGGGGTGGGGAGTTAATGACAACGACAACGATGACACATGGACCAAATAAAAACTGTACTATTAAAAAAGTTATCTTGTCTACTTGGGGAAGAATCCAGAAGCCATTCTTTTGAAACGTTATTCCTATGTTGAAGTAACCAAATGATCTACTTTGAGAAAACAATAAACCAGGAAGTAGTAAGAATAAGTTCTGGCGATTGCTAGACCATAACGCAGTGAAGTCATCACACCAGTCATAAGACCTGCATTCTAGTTTAACCTGCACATCAGAATGCCTGACTCAGGACGCATTCTGCTTGGTGAAGCAAGGGCCAACTCATGTGGCCTAATAAAAATAAAATACTATGTAAAATGGACATTTTCTAATTTTCAATTCAGTTCTAGTTAAAATCCACCTGCTCTTTATTCTAGATAGTAGACATTAGGCTGGGGAGTCAAACTGGGGCTTTCGGTTCATTCGAGGCAAACCAGACACATTCCCAACGTTTCGTCCATAAGTTAATGTGAACCTTGACCTAATTTGTCAACATTTCTAGATGTCATACCGTACGGAGGTTGAGAGCCACGCAAACAAGGCTGTTTTCAAGGTTATTTACATAGCCAACCTCGTGACTCCGCATGACATCGCGATCCAAGCTGCTCTGCTCTTTCCTTGTTTATCTCGATGAGGGAAAAGCGGCCACACCCAGGATGTCTGAACCCAGTCCTGAGGTTCTAGGATTAACTGCTCCTTTCCCTTCCTTTGCACAATAGGCACCCTAAATGAGAGAGGTGGGTGAACCCGGGGTATTGAGTCTAACGGGCACGTGTCCTCTTTCTTTCCATTGTTTGGAGACTGCTGAGGAGAAAGAGGATGTGCCGGGCCGGGTCTCTCGCTGAGCCCTCCTCAGCCTCCAGCCCAGCAGACGCCCCACTCCCACGTCTGAGCCTGTGTAAGGCGAGGAAGACAAAGCCGCTAAAGCGCTGTGGCCGCAGAAGCATCAGTGTCCACACTGCAGGGGCCAGAGCGAAGCTAACGTCCAGCAGTGCTAGCAGCACTGGGTCACAATTCACCCGGCGGCGTAAACTCAGGCCACTGGGGACTCGGGCTGCAGGGATCCAGACGCGGGAAGAAAAGACCCCTTCCCCCACTTCAGGCAGGAAACGCCGGCATTTTTCGCGAAACCAGCCGCGGCGCAGGCGCACTCGGTTACTTAGCAACGTTGACGTTAAACTGCCACGGAACCCAGCCCAGCAACAATAGAGCGGCCCGCGTTCCCCACCAATCAGCGCCGGCCTAGTCTTTGTCGCCTCACCAATCAGCGCTGGCGCAGCAAGGAAGTTTCCAGATCTTTCGAGGGAGGGCCCTTTAACCTGGATCCATCCGCTCGGTGATTTTTTTAATATTGTTATGCAAGGGGAGACGTGTCGCTGAAAATAAAGGGGATTTCACTTGTTATTGTTTTTTTTCTTCGGTTCTGATGAATTGGGAGCTCAGCTGGAAAGCCTGACTGAGTTGCGGGAGGTGGGATACGGGGGACTACTTTCGGTGGCGCAGGAAGACGACAGATGCGTAGGCGTGGTAAGTGACGCAACAGACGCTGCATAAATACTGGCTCGCGCCGCCGCAGCGCTCAGTGACGAGAGGCTTTGTCCACTGGGAAGCTGTTTGCGTCTAGGTGTTTGTACGCGCTCGGCGGTTTGTGGGCTCAACACATTCGCTAGCAGGTAATGGTCTGCGCTGCTTGAGCCCTGGAAGGGCCGGAAAAGGGGCTGACGTTAGGCTAAACGGGCTTTTTTTCTCGGGGTGGGGGAGGGGAGGGCGAGCTGACGTGACGCGGCAACGGGCCTTCCGGGAAGAGTGGGCCTTGTTCGCGTGCGCGGAGCGGGGGCGGCCCTGGCGCGCGCGCCAGGGAGCTTAACGGACACCTAACCGATGGAGAGTCCGTCGTGGTTACTTCAGTGGGGGAAGGCAGAAAAGAGGTATTCCCGACTTAGCTAGGCATAAGGTTAAATTCATCGTAGGAGTTACGTATTTGTGTAAATCATGGGAATCTTTATTAATGGCTTTGTGGTTTGGATTTTTTTCATTCTTAATTTATCACGGCTGTTACTGGCAGACTCGGATATTCCTCAATTGGTGAAGGTTCTGGATGCCAGTTCGGTGTTTTGAAATGCTTTAGCGGCTTGGAACCATGACAAAACATACTGTGTTGAAGAAACGCGGGGGAGGGGCTTGCACTAGATGTATTTTGTGGGAATCGAAATTATAAGTGGCACTTTACCTTTTAAATTCAAGGTCAAAATGCAAATCTTCGTGAAGACTCTGACCGGCAAGACCATCACCCTAGAGGTGGAGCCCAGTGACACCATCGAAAACGTCAAGGCCAAGATCCAGGATAAGGAGGGCATCCCCCCCGACCAGCAGCGACTCATCTTTGCAGGCAAGCAGCTGGAAGATGGCCGCACTCTTTCTGATTACAACATCCAGAAAGAGTCCACCCTTCACCTGGTCCTCCGCCTCAGAGGTGGCATGCAGATCTTCGTGAAGACCCTGACCGGCAAGACCATCACCCTGGAGGTGGAGCCCAGTGACACCATCGAAAACGTCAAGGCCAAGATCCAGGATAAGGAGGGCATCCCCCCCGACCAGCAGCGACTCATCTTTGCAGGCAAGCAGCTGGAAGATGGCCGCACTCTTTCTGATTACAACATCCAGAAAGAGTCCACCCTGCACCTGGTCCTCCGCCTCAGAGGTGGCATGCAGATCTTCGTGAAGACCCTGACCGGCAAGACCATCACCCTGGAGGTGGAGCCCAGTGACACCATCGAAAACGTCAAGGCCAAGATCCAGGATAAGGAGGGCATCCCCCCCGACCAGCAGCGACTCATCTTTGCAGGCAAGCAGCTGGAAGATGGCCGCACTCTTTCTGATTACAACATCCAGAAAGAGTCCACCCTGCACCTGGTCCTCCGCCTCAGAGGTGGCATGCAGATCTTCGTGAAGACCCTGACCGGCAAGACCATCACCCTGGAGGTGGAGCCCAGTGACACCATCGAAAACGTCAAGGCCAAGATCCAGGATAAGGAGGGCATCCCCCCCGACCAGCAGCGACTCATCTTTGCAGGCAAGCAGCTGGAAGATGGCCGCACTCTTTCTGATTACAACATCCAGAAAGAGTCCACCCTTCACCTGGTCCTCCGCCTCAGAGGTGGCATGCAGATCTTCGTGAAGACCCTGACCGGCAAGACCATCACCCTGGAGGTGGAGCCCAGTGACACCATCGAAAACGTCAAGGCCAAGATCCAGGATAAGGAGGGCATCCCCCCCGACCAGCAGCGACTCATCTTTGCAGGCAAGCAGCTGGAAGATGGCCGCACTCTTTCTGATTACAACATCCAGAAAGAGTCTACCCTGCACCTGGTCCTCCGCCTCAGGGGTGGCTATTAATTCTTCAGTCTGCATTCCCAGTGGGCAATGATGGCATTACTCTGCACTATAGCCATTTGCCCCAATTTAAGTTTAGAAATTACAAGTTTCAATAATAGCTGAACCTCTGTTAAAAAATGTTAATAAAGGTTTTGTTGCATGGTAAGCATACATGGTGTCATTTGTGAAGTTTCTGTGGTGGCTTGGGTGGAGGACCTCCCCACTGATTGTCTTTAGAGATTGTTATTTAAATTTTTTGTCGCTTATGGCTTAGATGAGTTGGGAACTTTGTTTAAAAGTTAATGACAAAGCTATAATATCAATTTGCAACACTATTAGAGGCGTTCCCATGCAGCCTTTTTACATTGGGGGAAAGCAAGTATAATTCCCTGAAGCTCATCAAAGACTTTGTGGAGGAAATAGCCAAAGTTTTGATTGAGCTCTTTGGATGGTAATGTGTTTAGGTACTTTGGGAGGGAGGAGAGGTTTGTTAACTAATTATTACACTGAAGTACATAGCTACATTGCTTGGGTAAGATACTGGCTGGTTGGGGTAATGCCCTTGACTAGGAAGAAGATCCCCACATTTGGAGAAGTGGTAAGTAATGGGAAGGTTAAAGCTTTTACGGTGAACACCTGTGGGTGGAAGGCTTGCATCTTGTCCCAAAAGTTTAGGAATGTTTTTGAGACAGTTTTAACTAGCTCACCTGAAATTCAGACCCATATGCTTCCCAGCTTTTAGCCATCATTGTTTTCAAATGGGACAACATCTTAGGGGTTCACTAAGAACTTGCCAAACTACCTAATTGAGCTTAATTCCTAAAATTTTTTAAATGCTGTTATACCTGGTACTTTGTCTGGAGATAAGGTTTGTAGAGTAAATAGAATTTCCTGCGTTTAATCCCAGGCATGGGGAAGCAGAGGAAGGCCAGCATGGTCCACATACAGTGAGTTCCAGGGCTAATGAAATGTAGTTGGAGGCAGGATCACATGACACTTGCAATCTTACCCTTTTAAATCAAATGCCAGCCTGGTAACTCGAGCTCCTTTGTATATGAGTATATAACATGCTGTAAACCTGAATTTTAAACATGGATCTTTGCCATGTTCCCTTTAATTTACTGGAGGGCAGATGTGTAGTTGGGATCAAGTCATGTGGTCTGGCTTTGGCTAGCAGCTTAATCTAAGCTATCACCAGCCCTCTATTGAAACACATACACAGCCCACGCTCGGGTTTTTTTTTTCTTTACCAGACAGTATAGCCCAGACTGGTTGCTTTTGAACTCTATTCCTCCCACCTCTGCCTCTTGGGATAAACTCACAGCAAGAGGCATGGGTTTTTTTGTTTGTTTTTAAAGAGGACAGTCTAGGTATCCCTTGACTGACCTGGTGTACATTATAGGTCCAGGGTAACCTCAAGCTTAATACTGCTTGCTTCCCAAGATGTGTGCCGTCTTGCCTAGGTTTTTTTTGTTTTGTTTTTTCCATCTTGCCTAGTTTTGAGAAGGCATATATGTAGTTGTGGCTGCCCTGGCATTCCCTATGTAGACCAAGCTGGCCTATGAACTCACAATCACCCTCTGGTTCCTGAGTGCTGGGATTAAAGACCTATGCCACCACACATGGCTCTGGCCAGGTAGTTTTTAAAAACTTTGCAGGTCTCATTGAGCATACAAAATTGGAATTCAAGGAAAGGCATATGTTAGCTATTACTGTTTGTTGAGTGTAGTAAGTGACAACGATGATTATACTCAGGGTGAGTTACGTAACAAGACCTGCCTAAATCCTCTGCACTGAATAAAAGGCCATTTGTAGTCTGTGGTCGCAGCTTCTCTTGATTGCTGATGAGATGCCCCTTCAGCTTTGTGGGGAAATGAAACTAGGAGGTAAACCTTTGCTCTGAGATAATGCAGAAAGAGGAGAGTTGATAAGATTTCTTGAAGCTGGGCATGGTAGTATGTACCTGTAACCCCCCAGCATCCTGAAAGTGAGGCAATTTTGCTCCAGGCTAGGCCTGACTTTCAAGTAAGACCCACATGGAGGATGGACACAGACTCCCACAAGTTGTCCTCTAATATATACATGTACAAATGTAACTTTGAAAGCTGGAGGGCCACTGCTCTTTCAGGTTCTCTGATTGCCAGGAACATTGTTGATTCCAGTTTTAGACTAGATGCTAAAGAACACATGGGCTTATCTTGGTGCATGTCTTCAGTTCCAGCAGTGAAGCACAGGCCTCCTTTGTCAAACAGTAAACTCTGGGCCTGTCAGGACTGCATAGTGAGACCTTGCCTCAAAAACACAAATGAACATGGAAGCCAGGCATAGTAGCACATGCCTTTATTCCCAGCATTTGGGAGGCAAAGGCAGGTGATACATAATGAGACCCAAGATAGCCAGGGTTAAGAGACGTTGTCTAAAAATGAAATAAAAAAATGGGAGAAGAAACACAAAGAACCTGGCTTCAGTTCCAGTCGTAGGCCCATGAGTCCTAGTGGTTAATACAGAGAACAATTTGCATGACACATCATCTGCCTTGAAATTGCTGAGTTCACAGAACAAGCAGGCACCCTCAGTCATAACCTCATTTCCCCTCTAAGGAATTCAGCAGAGATGTGTTGATCTGTGTGTGTGTGTGTGTGTGTGTGTGTGAGAGAGAGAGAGAGAGAGAGAGAGAGAGAGAGAGAGAGAGAGAGAGAGAGAGAGAGAGAGAGAGAGAGAGAGAGAGAGAGAGAGAGGCGAAGTTGCTGGGGATCAATGCAAGACAAGCACTCTACCACTTATGCTATCCCCAGCCTTTTTATTTATTTGAGGCCTCAAATGCCCTGTGTAGCAAAACATGATATTACATCGTTGCTCAGGACTCTATAGTTGTTTTTGTTTGTTTTCAAGGAGAAAGTAGGTTTGGTTTGGGTTTTGTTTTTTGAGATAGGGCCTTAATTACTCCATATGAGTGTGCGTGTGCATGCAATGATGGGCGTGTGAAGGCCAGAGGACAGCTTCATGGATTCCATAGTGCTCTCCTTCAGCCTCTACTGCAGACCAAATCCAGTCTATGTGGATTAGCGAAGCCGCCAACACCAGCTCTGTCTGAAGAAGCTTCCCTGGAAGCTGTTTTCCGAACACCAGCCTCAGTGTAATCTTCAGAAGCTGGCCTACTCTTCTTTTACAGCCAACACTTGGGTTCAGATTACTTTTAATTGACTTCTAGATTAACCTAACTCCTGTGCCTCCTTCTGGACTCTTCTTGGAAGCAGGCAGCAAGATTTACTGGAACAGTATGCATGGCTCCTATCCCTACATCAGCCAAGACCTTGAGAAGGAGAAGGCACAGAGCCAGGAAGCTTAGAGAAACACAGACAAGTAGTGGCAGCTCATGCCTTCAATCCAGTGTTCTCCACCTTCCTAATGCTATGACCCTTTAATACAGTTCCTCATGATGTGGTGACCCCCAGGCAAAAATTATTTCATTGCTACTTCACGACTGTAATTTTGCTACTTTAAATATCTGATATGCAGGATATCTGATTTTGACCCCAAAGGAGCCTTGACCCACAGGTTGAGAACTGCTGCAATCCCAGCATTTCAAGAGGCAGAAGCAGCTATATATAGCAAGTTCCAGACCCACCAGAAAAAGGAAAAGCCAAGACTTTTAGTAGGTTAGGAAGACTCACTTAAAGGATAACTGTGGTTGACAATAATTAGGTATTCTGAAATAGCTAGTAGAGAGAATAGTGAACACTCCCAATACAAAGAAAATATCCCTGAAGTGGAAGATATGTCAGCTACCCTGGTCAGAGTAGTACATATATATATTTGTATGAAATGTCATATAGAACCCCCAAAATATGTATAAACATTTTGTCAATTAAAAACTTTGGCTCGAACCTTTAATCCCAGCTCTTGGGAGGCAGAAGAAGGTAGATCTCTATGAGTTCAGGCCAACCTGGTCTACAGAGCTAGTTCCAGGGTAGCTAAGACTGTCACACAGAGAAGCCCTGTCTTGAAAAACAAAACCAACTTAAAAAAGAGGCTGGACATGTTGGCACATACCTTTAATCCCAGCACTCCAGACAAAGATAGGCAGACCTCTGAGTTTGAGGCCAGTTTGGTCTACAGAGTGAGCTCCACAAGAGCCAGAGATACATAGAGAGATTCTATCTCAAAACAAGGTGCCTGGATACATGGCTTAATGGTTAAGAGCACTGACTGTTCTTCCAGAGGATTCAAGTTGAATGCCAGACACCCACATGGTGACTTACAACCATCTGTAATTCCAGTTCTAGGGGATCTAATGCCCTTTTCTGACCTCCAGGAACACATGTTATACACAGACATGGATGCTGGCAATCATTCATACATTAAAAAAATATTTAAAACAAGTATTTTAAAAAGAAGCCATGCTTGGAGTAACAGACTTATATCCTAGTTATTTGAAAGGGTGGTGAAAGGGATCAGTATCGATTTCGGACAAGTTCTCAGCATAAAGGAGACTTATTTGCTCCAGAGGGACAAAGGGCAGAGAATAAGAGAAAAAGACAGAGCTGGACATTGGTGGCGCACACCTTTAATCCCAGCACTTGGGAGGCAGAGACAGGCAATCTCTGTGAGTTCAAAGCAAGCCTGGTCTACAGAGCTACACAGAGAAACCCTATCTCAAAAAACAAACAAAAAAAAAGAGAGAGAGAGAGAGAAAGACAGGAGACAGGACAAAGGAGAAGGGGAAGGGAGAGGAGGCAGGGGTATTTGAGGACAAAAGACTGTCTCTGGATAATGAGAAGACCCTAGACAAATAGCAGGTTTTTTGTTTGTTTGTTTTTTTATTTTGTTTTTTGGTTTTTCTAGACAGAGTTTCTCTGTATTGTTTTGGAGGCTGTCCTGGAACTTGCTCTGTAGACCAGGCTGGCCTCAAACTCACAGAGATCCGCCTGCCTCTGCCTCCCAATTGTTGGGATTAAAGGCATGTGCCACTAACGCCCAGCAAATGGCAGTTTATAAAGGTAAAAAAAGAAACACCTTGTTAGCATGAGATGTTTAATTTTAATTAGGCATGTTAATTAGGTGAGCCAAAGGGGGCTCTTGATTGGTGGACTTCAATACTCTGATAACTGAACCTTGGTAGCCAGCCTCAGGAGGAGGAAGAGGCCAAACAAGGTAGTAGACCTTGGCAG